CAGTCACAAGATGTTTAGAATAATGTTGTAAACTCTCACACATATCCATGTTCAGTGAGGGAATGAAGTATTTGAATCCCTGCTGATTCTCAACATTTGCTCACAGACAATTAGATACACGCTATGCATCACAATATTTTTAACCAACTATTGAAACTGTTTATGTAGCGATCTATCATTGGAAATTTTTGAATTTAAAAAAGTTTTGAGATCACACAGCTAAGAAGGCTAGGGTCTAGTTTTATTTGTATGAGAGCGTTCAATAGCATCCATCCACTAGGGGGCAGTGTTAATATTTGCATTAAGTCATATTTTTACTCTTAAGTGATGGAGAGAGCTAATTTTGTAATCATTCTCCTTAAAATGTGAGTAAAGGAAAATTGTCTCCTTTCAGAAGTTTCAGAAGTGACTAGAATCACTCCAAGAAGCAAATAAACTTCAGCTCGTAGATGATATCTCCCAATAGCTCCACGATATGTAGTGTGACAATTTTGTATTGCGATACATTGTGCCAAAATATACTGTTGCACCCCTTATGTTTTGTGATGGGGTCAAATTCTTAAAACCAGTTATAGTTGATATTTTGTCTTCCACTGTTGAAATCATATACTGTATGGGTTGGAATGAACATATTACATTGTGTGCGGGCTAACATCCAGGGTAAAAGCAGGGGTTGAAATACTTCTTTCTATCCCTATATGCAACCACATGCAGTCCACAAATCCAGAGTTTCACCAGACGGAGCATTTATTTGGTGGGTTCATGGCTGAGGCTCTAGGACAGTGAAACACTCGAGCAAACTCCTCAAACTGTGACACACTGCCGATCACCCTGAGAGAGAAAGAGAGAGAGAGAGAGAGAGACTATGTTTATTGGCATCCATTTTTGCCTAGAGCAACATAGCTGCCTGGTTGACACATCGGTTCAGGTTCAGTATATAAGTGGATTGCTGTAATTACTAATAACCCTGTTGTGAATGTCAAAGATAATACCTGTAATGCTCGGGAGCGTGTTTGTCTGTCAGCAGCTGTAGATAAATCGACTGCGACCTTCTCTTCATGCACCAGTTCTGAAGCCAACACAGCATTAATACATTATTTAACTAATTTAAGATCACAACGTGCAGAGTATTTTAGAACCTGAATCGAGCATTATATATACCTTAGAAAGAGCCAATCAGAATGAAGCTTTACCTGAGCAAACGCGATGAAGAAGAGCTGTTCATGAGTGTATTTGAGACCAGGAAGAGGACGCTCCGGGCCGTGCTCTCGAACCCACTTCTGATATGCCTGGAAAGTAATAATGTAGTAAAACATCACAGTTACTCTACTCAGAGAACATTTGGTCCCTTTATATAGAGTTAAACTGTTTCTGGGAAGAGATGTTTAATCACCTATTTCATTGTTTTTTTTGTACAAATTTTTCTAAATCCGTGAATAAAAATTCTGTCTCTTAATTGTCTTTGACTTGTGTTTCTGTCTCATCACTAATGATTAAAACTATTAAAAGACAGATTTTTTATTCACGGATTTAGAATTTTTTTTTACAAATTAAACTAGTGATGACACTATTTTTTTATGATTAATGATTTTTTTTCATTAATTAATTACTCTGCCATTGAGCTATTTTAACTCTTTTAAGGGTCCAAATATTATCTGAATAGAGTAAGTTTTACTCGGAGCATTTTCTTGTGATGTATTTTGTGATTTTCTTGTGATGTACTGCTTTATGATTACCACACTCAAATCTAAACAACATAAAAAATAAAATGCATAAAAACGTATTTCATTTGTAATGAAAATATGATTATGAAAATATTTGTTACATTCATAGATTTAGGGGAATTAAATGAAATATTCATACATTCATGTTCATAATTTATAAACATTAATTACTTAATTCTTTTTATCTTTTTTAAAAAAAAGAAGATTTTGTATTTTCCTCTGAAAATGTATTTTTTTATTACACATGTAATCAATAATCTCCATTAAGAATTAAATAGGCAGTAACTGTATATTGATAAAAATTGATTATTATAATTTTCATAACACTCTTTGTAATGTGGGGAAATGGTCATATAATGGAAGGCATTACAACAGAATGAGAGTTAAGAAGAATACAAAGTATTTTTTTCCTTTTTGCTTTGTATGGTGATATATATGTCTTCAAGGAGAAAAAGATGGAAGGTGTGGAGACTCACATGGTAAGACAGTTTGAGTCCACCAAGGTCAGCGATGTTCTCCCCCAGAGTTAGGCGCCCATTCACCTGTGTAGACACACAGCAGTGCATCATGGGTCTGTGTTTTAGAATCCAGGCTGTGCTTGCGAGTGTACTTATGTCTCACCCTCTGGTTGTACACGGTGAAGTTGTCGTAAAGTTTAACGATGCACTCTGTCTTCTTCTGAAACTTCCTGTAGGACTCCTCTGTCCACCACTGCTTTAGATTTCCATGACGATCGTACTGTCCACCTATTAGCAAGCAGCATGGGGTCAATGATGGAATCGTCAAAAATGGTATTCAAACAAACACACCTTGTGCCACAGAGAGGATTTTTTTTTTACAGCAAATTATAATTTTGACATATTGAAGATTAGCAATCACACAACCGTCTTTAATTTGCTGTGTTTGTGACCCACTGATCCAAGACAAGATCAAGGGCAGAGTGTACTGAGACGAGACTGAGACAATACAGAGATGAGACTGAGAAAAGCACCAACTGAAATCAATCGTTTATAGAGAGCAGATCTTGTCAAAGACCAAGTAGAGTTCGAGTTTTCACAAAGTAAGGTTTGGCATGACTGGCGCTGGAGACCCTATGGCCACAGCTCAGACTGGCGGCATCAGGTGGAGAACATGCTCCATTTAGACTCAATGTCTCCAGCCCCCCAGGATCTGGCTAAAGCTGAGGTGGGAGTTTTGGTTATGACAAGTCTGTCCAACTTCCTCCCCCACCATCGGCTGCAGCACAACGCTAGGTGGGGACCAGTTAACACCTCAGTCCCTCTCTTCAACTGAGTGTCCAAAACATCCCTGTGTCCTGGTGCAAGATTAGTTCATATTGATTATATATTAATGTCTCACCCCAGTCGTCGTATCCATGTGTGAGTTCGTGTCCGATGATCGCCCCTATTCCTCCGTAATTCAGAGATCTGAAACACAACTTAACTGTTTCATTTCCATAATAACGCAAGATTATTGTCGTTTATTCTTATATTTCTTGTTTTCAAATCGCTTCAACATATGTTGCATATATAGTTTAGTTTAGATAACGATTCTAATCAACCAGTCAGTTTCACGAGTTCACCGCCAGGCCCTGCCTTGTACTTGAGCAAAGAGTGACGAGTACAAATGTCCAAGGAAAGGATCATATCCTTGTTACACCCCCCAAGAGAGGAGTTTTTGGGTGGGAGGAGATGTAAAGCTCAAAAAAAGTCACATAATACAAGGTAGGACTGGCAAAAATACTATATGGTTTGATGATTTGATTACGGACACCTGCTGCATGCCCTGATTGCTTCTACTGAAACTCGTTATATAAACATCACTTATGGATTAAAAACAATTAATGAGATTCTTGTTTCAAATTAAGCAGTCCACTCAACCTGTAAGGTTTGAGCAATACGTTTATCATCTTTTAAATTTCATTGCTTAAAGTTGAAGAATAACAATAAAAAATCTTTATAAGGTTATAAAATAGTTCAGTCCTTACAAAACAAGCAGAAATGTAAAGCTTTAAAATAAACAGCAGGAGGCAGCAAAGAGTCACATTATGCACACAGGAACACAGTAGTGTCATTCTGTAGCGTGTTGGACAATAAAAGTGAAACACTTTCCAATACTGAGATATATGCGGACAGTTTCTGATGCCAAGAAACGAAACAATTCCTGCTTCTCCGGCTTCTCTTTATGACAAGATTAATAACAAAAAATAAATACTGACAACAAATCATCTCATCAGGGGACATTAGTTTAATGAATATGAAAGCGACTCACTGTGGGAACTCTGGATCGTAGAGAGATGGTTGGAGAATTCCTGCTGGGAAAACTGTGCAGGAACAAATAATGAAGATAATTGATTTTACTTTAATACTGAAGGGTTGTTTAAGTCAAAACAACACACAATTGTGTTCTGGTGAAACTCACCCATTTGGTTTTTGTTTGGCAGATAATAAGCATTTAATGCCTGTGGAGGAAGAAGCCACCTGTAGAAGCAAAAACACAGGAATAACGTGTTTATACAGAGACGAATCAATGCACAGTACAACAACTTAAAAAAACCTGCTTTATTATTGACAGTTGTATTTTATTTAGATCTAAATAAATAATAGATCTAAACCTTTTACACAGCACTGATTGTGTTTTCTATGTGAATAATATTTATTCTGAGCACAAAAAGTAAATATTTCTATTAAAACAGGTAACTGAAACAATTTGCCAACAGTCAAGCTAAAACATTCAAAATCTATTGAACACTGTTTCAGTTTCTTCGTCCAAATCTTGGATTATTTGACTCGGATTTTTAAGTAAAATGTTTTTGTATGGTTAAAAAAATGAGACCAGAACTTCTGTACTGTATCTGCATCTGTAGATACTACCATTGCTTTAAATGGTCTCAGTTCCTAGTTTGACAGTGCCACTGACAATGCATCATGGGATTTCAATTCTTTCTCTCCTGTGAGCCGTTGCCTTCGCTGAAGTTGAGTTACGTACGTGCTCTTGTCAACTTCTCGGTGGATCCTCCTCACTGAGAGTTTGATGTTGTGCTTGATGCTGTTGAGGATATTCTTGAAATAGCTTTTCTCATTCACATCAAACTAGAAACAGATAACAATGAAAAATTAACACTTTAATAAAAAAATATGACATTTTTCATTACGGTTAAACTATAGCTCCTCTTTTGAAATTCTTTTGTTTTCATTCATTTATTCCCTCATCTTATTGATTCACTTCTTCTTTTTCAACGTCATAGGGTTCTGCTGGAGCTTACCTCCAGCACACTTTGGGTGAAAGGCATTTAAATTTGAACCCACAACCTTTGCGTTGTTAGCGCAATTCTCTACCAACTGAGCCACAGGAAAGCTGTACACCCTGAACAGGTCACCAGTCCATCAACACACACATTCACTCCTGGAGGAAATTTAGAGAAATGTTGGTCTTGTGGGGGAAACTAGAGTTCCCAGGAGGAAACCAATGATAGCACTGGGGAAAACATGCCACTGGCCACTGGTATAACAATCATCTCCTTGCATCAGTATCAAGACAAAGTTTGTTGAATAAGAGTTTTAGTTAATAAAATGTGATTGTTTTTGTCAAACTATTACATAAGTAAATGCAAATATTCTAATTGTTTGAAATTGTTATTGGACACAAATTGCTTACTGCATACTCCTCATCGATCAGCTCGGGCTTCAGAAGAAAGTCTGGATAACCCGTCATCACCATCATGTGCTGCAGCTGAGAGATTTCAGAGATAAAAACATGATTAATTACATTTTGTGATTAAATTTGTACAATTCTAACAACGGTACATACAACCTACAAAAGTATAAAAAAGCAAAGGTTTAAGTAATGTCTTGATTTGCATTTACTATGGATTTAAACACAAATCATGCTTTACCTTGGCTCTGGCGGCATCTCTGGTTTCCTCATCCATCCAGTCAAGATCCTGAAGCCGAACATCCAGAGAGTGTTTAATATCCTCCACCATATCTTGCACCTGACAGAGAGGCGGAGTCAGGCTGTCAATCAAAGCTTGTCTCGCTGATTAATATCAACAGTTGTGCTTATGGATAGTGAGAGTACGGATCAATCAAATCTTACTATTTGGTTTATAATTCATGTTTTAGCAAGAAGAGCTACTTCACTTAAGAAAAGGGCGGAGTGCTTCTGTCAATCAAAGCACACGCCTCCTTTGGTTATTTATGAGTATAACTCACTGGTTTCGAGCCCAGTTCTTAGGATTAAGGTGAAAAAGAATCCATCAAATCTAAGTATGCACATTACAGTCAGAGAGGGAGGAGGCGGAGTCAGGGTGTCAATCAAAGCTCTCTTCTTCCGTGATTGGCTTTGACTGACTGATGTAATGATAGTTTCTGATATTATGGGCAAAATTTAGGAAAATGCAAGAATTTTGTTTTTCATCTACATTGGCCATCAGAATAGCTGATTCTAAACAATTCCATCTTCTCTGATTGGCTCATACTTTTACAGCTTTTTCATTTGTTTGATGACAGGAGAGATTTATGAAACATTAATATTTATCAAGATTTAGCCATGCAATTAAGGATGGGGGCGGGGTCAGGCTGTCACTCAATTTTCTTTGATCCATTCAAGTTGAAATACAACAAGATATGAAAGCCCATTTTTGAAGTATTATCAAAATTCAACCATAAGCTCCAACACATGGAAATGAAGCAGCCAATCAAAGCCCTTGCTTCCTCTGATTTGGTGAGTGGAACTTAATATATTTTGGTTAGTTTTTAGTGTAATGTCCTCCACCACGTGGAGGACATTAGCTTGATGGTCCATCTGGATAACGTGAGTGCTGAAGCCTATGTTGGAGCCAGTTACCTTGGCTCTGCTGGCAGAAGAGAAGTGTTTCTGGACGAAGAGAGCACCGAGGGCCATCCCAAAGTGTTTGTTAGTGTGTGTCAGACACACTCGGTGCAGATCCGGCGGCGGCTCGGCTCCATCGATCTCTCTGGAGAACTCACTGATGCTGCTGCGAAACGCTGTCGAAAGATGCTCGCTCAAAGCCGCTACCATCCTCCACAGCATGTAGTTATGAAGAACTCTAATGAAAGGAGACGGGCAGATAGAGCTATTACTGTATACCATGAGGCAAGCAAAACCTGGTCATGGGTTCGATTGCCAAGCTCTAGGTAAAACACAAGCTTTAAGAAATTAAACTAAATTATTAAAACAAAAGAAACATGCAAATGTTTGTTTGTTTGTTTGAATAAATAAAAAAATACATGCATCGAAAAAAAATCCAAAAATAAATAAATGAAACTTTTGAACTTTTAACTTAGAAATAAAAATATTTTAAAATTTCACAAATAATTACATAAAACAAAACAAGTAAACACATCCATAGACATTCAATTTTAACGTTCATTTTACAACCCGCTTATTCCCTTTCGAGGTTACAAGGGTCTGCTCTCCAATGCACATTGGGTGAGAGACGGGGATACACCCTGGACAGGTTGCCAGACCATCGCAGGGCAACAAACGCTCACACATTCACACCTAAGGGGAATTTAGATTATTCAATTAACCTAACCGCATGTTTTTAGGATTGTGGGGTAAACCGGAGTACCCAAACGAAACCCTTGCAAGCACAGGAAGAACATGCAAACTCCTTCCAGGAAGGTCACCGGGGAGCCTTGAACCAGCAACCTTCTAACTGGATGGCCACAGTGCTACCCACTGCGCCACCTGTGTGTATACAATATAATAATAACTTTATGTCAGATCTCTCTCTCTCTCTCTCTCTCTCGGGATAGATGACATCACCCTTATGGGATATTAAAACACACAGTGTACCGCATTTTAATCATAGCATAGCAGCGTTTGGCTCCAAGAGGCACATCACATGCCAGCAAACCACTCAAAGAGAGAGAGAGGAATAGAGAGAAAAGAATGGAAGACCGACAGAAGGAGAGATAGACAGATCCAGATTCCAACTCATGTGTTTATGAACACTATTTTGCTTTTGTCTGTTTGTCTTTACAAATGCATCTGTTGTTGCTCTCAGCATGAGTGTGTGCAGGTGTGGAGATATTCAATTAACCATCTCTCTCTCTCTCTCTCTCTCTCTCTCTCTCTCTCTCTCTCTCTCTCTTTCTCTCTATCTCTCTCTCAATCAGGAGCTCCAGTCAATGGCCATGCAGGGACCAGTAGAAAAGCTCATTAGGCTCAAGTATGTTAATTTATGTAAATGAAGCTCATTATGAATAAACACCTAGTTTCTGAAGAGGATCAAACACGCAACATAAACACACTCGCACATCGAGGTTTCAGTGTGTGTTTGTTACTCCTGACTGAAGAGCCAGCGCGAGACGTTAAAAGAGACCCTCAGAAACGCAAATGAGATCATCACCATTATCATCATCAGGCAAAAACACTTAGGAATCACTGCATATTACAATAAGTTCCTCCTTCTAAATCTCCAACGATTAAAATGCAAAATAGTTTAAATGAAAAGACTATATGCACACTCAAAACTCATCAGTGACAAAACAAGATGTTTCAGTTTCACTGTCCAAATCCACAATGTTTGTGTGTGCTGTGGATTTGTGAGAAAACCTTAAAAATGAAAATGCCATTTGCAAGAGTTTTTGTGTGAGCCTTTGACTGTTTGTTGTGTTTAATGGGTTGCTGCACAGTATAATGTGTGAGAGAAATATAAAAAAAACACACACACACACACAACATAACATTGGCACTGGAGGTTTGATGTCATATTTGGACGGAGAAACTGAAAAAGTATAGAAGAGTATTCAGTATAGAGCTTTGTGTATAGGGCAGTGAACGTGAAATAATGAGTAAAAGGTTTGTAAAAATGTTAATTACTTTTGTTATTTAACATATTATTGAAAACTCTTTTTGCTGACACTGTGACATGACAGAAGCTAACAAAAGAGTTTTTCTGAAGCAAAATGAAAAAAAAAAGTGTTTTATCCTTATTTTGACACTCAGCACAATGAAACGCTGTGGGTCTCTGTTTCTCCTAGGCTAAAACTATTTTCATAAGAGTAAAAAATTTATATTATTACAGTAGGCTGGAAAGCAACAGGAGGAAAACGGCATGAAAAGCCTCAGAAGAACAAAGAACAGAATAAAAGTCATTTCTCTGAGTCTTTGCACCCGTGGCGTGCAGATCAAAGCTGATTGGCTGAGAGCCCCAGGTCGTCATGGTGATTTTAATAACAGTGATTATGTAGGAAGGGTTCGTCGTGAAGATATTATGGGATGTGAGGTGTTATTACAGAAATGGCTGAAATGGATTTGATATCTTGGCTAAGAAAGAAAAGAGAAACTGACTCATCACTTTCAGTCAGATTACACGCTTTGCCCGATTTTAATAATGTCTATACTTTGAAACTTTTCTTCAACTACTTTTTTCCTTCTGCCTTCATGTCCCCTCCACTGTTATGACAACGTTTATTCCTTACCGTTTTGAGGTGGTTTTAATGATGTTAGAGACCGTCTGCATGTACTCGGAAGCCAGAAGAACGACCTCTTCATCATCAGAAAAACTTTCTGAGAAGATCCTCTCCAGCAGACGCTTCCAGTTAAACTAACAGAGAGAAATATACCGGAGGTGAGCTTGAAGACTCTCTGGTGTGGTAAAAACCAAAGAAAGTGGAACAGAGAAGGAATGCAAATTCAATGCTGACACATCATTAGGAGGAAACAACTAATATGAAAAACACCACAGACCTGTGTTTTAGTAATTACAATCAAGTTTGTCCAATGACTTCCTGTTTACAGTGAACTTCGGACAATCACACCTGTAGGGCCTAGTTCTTTCAGGAGAAACCAAAAAACAGACACATCCTGCTTTTCTCACCCATAGACTATTTGTTCTATATTTTCAAATGTTACATTTATCTAGCTCCATAAGGGTGCCCACTGCCCAGAGAGACAAGTGTCTCTCACTTATGTCAAACCCATACCTTGAACTAACCCCTGACCTTACGTTAAAATAATTTTTTTTGCTGTTAACCAAAATGATAGGATTTTGCTGTTCAATTGTAAATGAATCAGGGAGAGATGGCAGCTTTTATGGCAGGAGCTGGGTGACCAGATTGGTAGATATCAATCTTGCCTCCTCCCAAAATAAGTTTGGTGAAACTTCATATGGAAAAACTGGGACCAAAGATTATTTGGTGATTGGGAGCCCCAATACTCACACTGGGAGTGATTTTCTGCAGTTGTTTGAGAGTTATTCTGTTGTACATGCCGCTAACGTCCTTTCTCTGTTCTTCGTATTCGTAAACACTGATCTGAGTGAAGAAAGAAAGAAAGTATGGTGAGATTATCGAAGACAAAGCACTTTATTAGGTTTTAAGCA